CTAATGATTATGAAACGTAGCACAAGACCTATAAAGTTTACCAGCAGTTTTTTAGTGACATTGTCTCTGGAATCGTATGGGAATGTCAGTATTATAACGTGAATATATTCTCTTTGGTAATTTTATTAATATATTTCACTTTATTTATAGATTCTCAAAGCATCCTACTCTGCCTTTAATGTTTTACAACAATCTTGAGACACAAATAATAAAAGTTCACTCATTTACTACACAATGTATACAGTGATTTCTCATGAATAAAATCTTGTACGAGTATGATATTATTAGAGAGGGACATATATGTATACGAGAATGTCATACAGTTAATGTGTACACATATTTATAGATATACATATATGTATATATGATTTTTAATATATATATGTTAAATATTAATGTATAGTTTTTATTCCTGAATGCAGTTGCATCTAAATTTAAATTAGAGGACCGAATTGATAGAGCGAGAGAATAATATTCCAGATAGCACATCAAAGATTTTTTTAAAAAATTCAGTCGTATATATGTCATCAATTTTCAGATACAAAAAGAATTTTTTTTCTACACTTAGGGAAATGTTTCGCTAGAATTCTAAATATTACACTTAAATTGTATTGTTGTTCTTTGTATCTGCTAAAAAATTATCTGTCGTACATAGCATTTATAGCAGCAATATTCTAAGAAAAAGAAATATTATATACTATATATATATATATAGTACATATCTTTATAATATTTCTGCAATTGCAAATATTGGCAACAAATTATATGTTTCCCGAAAAACCACAAATTTGATCAAAACATATATTTGAGCGTTATTGCCAATTTTGTTAGCACACTTTTCACCAGTAAGTATATGCAATAATCCACGAAATATATATGACAGAGTCGTAGCTAATGGCAAGCAGATACCGAATATATTGATGGTAAATGCCAAGCAATTTTACTATTGCAAACAATTTGTCAGCAAACGTCTTGCAAAAATGCAACAATATATGCTTTACAGTAAACAGATCGTGTCCTAAGTTTGTTAATCTGTCGTTGCATTGCTATTTTCTGCTCTGCAGTTATTGTTATCAATTTGACTGTGAAATATGTTTTTAAGCTTTGATTCACTTATGGTGCCTTTAGAGGTGTGCGAATAGTTCGAATTCGAATTTAATCGAATCGAATCACAATGGATTCGATTCGAGTTCATTTTCGATCTTACAGATTCGAATCGATTTGACTATACAAATGATTAAAGGCATTAAATTGATTCGCACACCTCTAGGTGCCTTCGATTTAGCGACGCAAGTCGGCACAAGCATTATTATGTTTTTTTTTTCTTCAACAAATAACAAACAGAATGATATTTATGTTGATTTGTGTCGCTAAATGGAAGGCACCCATAGAATTAGATAGATCAAATGCATTTGAATTAGGAACTACGTCACTGCGCATTGCGCATGCTTAAACGCTCAACGCTCAACGCGAGTCGCGAAGGAACCCCAATAGTTTCTTAACCTCAACAACATGTGACTTGTTTGTTTAGTTAGGTTAGGCGTTCGTGAGCAATTGTGAGCATTTATGCGACGAGTATATGCGAGAGTGTGCGGCAAATATATAATATTAAATATTTAGACTTTCGGCATCTTCGGAATTGGCAACGTGATTAAAGTTACCTTCTGATAAAAAATTACACGTAAAACAAAAAAACATAAGACATTGTTATTAGCGATTATTAAAATTATTCAATGAAACAGTAGTAAATGACATTTGGAATAGGGTTTTCAAAATAAGAATGTTGCTGAATATTGTACAATTGTCACGTAGCGCGATTCACGGCGCGAAACTTTTGGGAACAGTCAATTTAAGGTCAACAATTGGATGCAAATATAGTACCAAATGGATTAGTCGAAAACCTGTCGCTATTGTCAATGAACATGAGCTCTTTGATACTGATGACACGACCAAAGCTGACGAGCAAAGAACTAAAACACACAGGAAGAGACCGAGAGGCAGTAAACGTGAGAAGAAAGAAGACAAGAAGAAGCAGACGGAAAATGAAGTTGAAGGAGGCACTGATACGAAAAAAAAATATATAGCCCTTGATGCAGACGATAAGCTTATAAGGTAGTTTTTTAAATGATGCTCAAATGACCTGCGTGAAAAGTACAGTCCATGTGTATCTCTATTACAAATAATACATGTGTATTTCACGTTTCAGCTCATTAATGATAGACGTCAAAACGAAAAAGAAGAGAGAAAAGAATGGCCAAATGCTATTGGAGGGCTCTCGATTAATTGAAGATGCAATTCGGGCAGGGACAGTGCCAAAAGCGATATTTTTCAGCAGGTTATCCGACGTACTGCCGCTGTCACTTTCGCAAGAAGTGAAACTATATAAAATTCCATATCGTACGATACAGTTGTGGTCCAACTTGACAACCTCTCCTGGGATAATTGGTAAACACTATGATTCTACACATCTTGAAGAAGACGATAATTAGCACAATCTATTAGTAGTGGTATATAATTATTACCATTTTTTTTTGTACAGGAATCTTCGAAATCCCAGATGTAGACGCTAAGGAACCAGCTGAGGATGCTTTACCTTTGACTATTATCTGTGACAATGTCAGAGAACCAGGAAATTTGGGAACTATTGTAAGAGCTGCTGCCGCAGTTGGTTGCGAAAAGTTATTATTGATGAAAGGTAATTTGCGCGCCATTACTAATTCCGTGGCTCGTTAAGGGGTTACGCCA